GTGTTTATATAATCAGCACAATAATGTTAAGCGTGCTCTTTTAAATTCTTCCTCACTTTGTGCTCCTGACATTTAACCAAAGTGTTTTTCAGAGCTGCCAGTCAACAAAATGAAAATCAATGTTTATTGTCTTTTTGCTGTAATATAAGTTTGCTTTATTTGACTTTTATTAATTTTTTTTCTTTATTGCATTTAAAGTTAAGGAATAGTTCAGATCTTCTGAAGTGGAGTTCTGAACAGTCAATATCTTACCTGTTTTAGATGTTGTTGAATGACCTCAGTTTGGAGAAAACGAGTTTAATTCTGATCACACTGACAAGTTAATAACTAGTTTAGGTAGTTCACTTCACACGGGTATACAAACAGAATTCTGTGGTGATGTGGAGATTGTCAAACTCATTTTCAACAAGGGCCACATGAGAATTATGGTGGCCCTCAAAGGGCCAGGTGTAAKTAACTTCAGTAGCTACGTTTACATGGACATAAGTAATCGGATTAAACGGCCGTTCGGAATTAAAATGCGTCATGTAAACAGCCCGTTTGGATTATTCTGATCCGATTGAGCTCGATCCGAATGAATTTTTAATCCGAATGAGAGGGATGGGTTATGCCGACTGATAATCGGAATGACGTGCATGTAAACAATCGGATCATCTTATTCTGATTGTAGAAAACTGACCTGAGTGCGCATGTCTTCTGACTTTCATCCACCTGGGTCTGCTCTTTAGAGGAGGCAGGACAGCAGTGCTCCAGCTGCGCTGCACCGCGCAGAACTTTTCCTCCTCGCTCTCTTAACAGATGAAAAAGGAGACAAACAGCAGACGTTGCTTCGCAAAAAATAAATWAAAAAAACACGTATTGCTTCATCTGCAGCTCAACCGGGAAGTAACGATTTCTCTAAAACTGAAACGGGTCCGTCCTGAGCKCACAAAAGAGCTTTGTTTACAGTTGTAACAYGGAAGTAGAGCTGAAAGTTCACAACACTGTGCATGTCTGGACTTTGATTCTGAATAAAAGTCCGGTGCATGTAAAYACTTGTCATGATCGGATTGTGTCCATGTAAACAGTATATTYGGATTATGTAATCCGAATACATTTCAATCCGATTAAAAAATTTTGTGCATGTAAACATAGCTACTGTTTTGAGTTTAACTATGACTAAACAGGAAACGTTCCTTGTCTCATTGCTATGGCTAAATTCAGCTAACAAACAATAACTGAGCTCTGTGGTATTTCCTTCATAGAAACAGTTTTAACACGTCCTCTTATAAACACTGAAAAGTACTATGTGTACAACTAACTAAATGTGAAATAAATAATACAGAGATGTAGGGGTTTTGGGTATATTCTAAAATGGATAATTTGTGAATTATTTAAATAAGCAAATTATCTGACCTCGAGGCACCACGCTCTTAATTTGATCAAAATTTAACCCAGGAAAGAGACAAAAACCTGTAACTTAATGTAATCAGTCTCACAATAAATGTACCCAAAATTGTTTGATGAGTTCTTGTCCTTATCAGAACCAATAGTACTTTATCAAGACACAAAAATGAGATTAGCTTATGTTGGCACGTTCTCCACGGGCCATTTATTTACAGATTAAATGTATTCACAACTATGGTGAGTAATGAGTGGTGACATGTTGAACCAGGTAAAACTGACAGAGTTTGCAATCACAAGTGAATAAAC